CCTCCCTTCCCCCCCCCCCCCCCCCCCCCCGTGCCTTTTCTTTTTTCCAATTTGATTGACACATACAAAGAATAAAAGAAATTGTAGCTGTAAGATTCTAATTCTCCTTCGTACAGCAGCATAAAAGAGGAAGGTATGAGCAGTTCTCTTTCTTGAAAACCTGGGAAATTTTGGCACATTTTTTTGATTATTTCACTTGCATGAATATTGGTGGACTCTTGCAGGAATGGAAAATCATGATAACGTTCTACAGAAGCATGTTATTTTCTTCGATCGGAACAAAGATGGGACCATTTATCCCTCAGAAACTTTTCGAGGTTTTTATTATTAACTTTCTGTAGTGAAAATTTTCTTTGTTTCTATGATTTTCATTTGGGTTTGCTTATCTTATTTCTTATTTGATCTTTTTTGGGTGGTTGATTTTCCAGGTTTCCGAGCAATTGGCTGTGGGATCTTATTGTCAAGCGCCGCCGCAGTTTTCATTAACGTTGGACTTAGTCGCAAAACAAGACCTGTAATCCCCTTTTCCCTCTTTAAAAATATGTAATTTTTCCATTGGTGATTCATTTTAACTTTATTTTCTAATTACTTAATTGTTTTTTCTTCTATAACTTTCATTTATATATATTCATTTAGTTTGACAATTTTCTTTCATATTACTTCGTAATATATTTGCATGACATAGAATGCCAATTAGTAGAAATAACGGTAACTAAATTATCAGGATTGGCGTCAAATTGGTATTGAAGGAGTAATTAATTAAACTAATGATTGCATACTTCTTTGCATAGTAGAATTTCTATTCTTGTTTTTCTCTTTATTTACACGATTTCGTACATTTTAAAACCGATCTATTATTTTGTAAAGAAAACTCATGGGATAGTTTTCTACACATACATGAGTAGATATCAAATTTTATTTTTACTTTAATCATATGGTTAGTTTGTTATAAATGGAGGGTTTTTGGATGGGTTCATGGTGGGTAGGGATAGCAAGCAGGCTCGTCGGCTCAGTATCGAAAATGCCCGAACCAACCCAGCAGGAGGCTTGAGCCAAACCCCCTTTTAGGATGCCGTGCAGAGCCCGAGCCGGCATGTGTATCTTGCCGACTTGGGCTCACAGGCCTCTGAAAAAGAAAAAATAGTTTAAAGGCAGCAACACGCTGCAGCCTAAAAATAGGCAGTACTCGACTGCCTTTAAGAAAAAAAGGAGCTCGGCCTAGCTCGGCTCAGTAATGCTCGAGCCGAAAGTTTGGGCCGAGCCTAGATTTTTGCTTGGCTAGGACTCGTAAAAAAGTTCGGACCATTTTACTCGAGGCGAGCCCGAGCCTCGAGTTTCAACTCGACTCGTTAACACCACTAGTGGTGGGGGAGGGGGTTGATGTAGTCCAACATGATAATATCACTCTTCATTAGGCGGCTATTGTCCATTGCATATCAATATTCATTAGGCCTTCGGATTAGTATGCCTTTTGAGAAACCGGCTAGATTCTTCATTTCTATGCATTTTTTTGGTATCCTGTTTTCCAATGATATCTAGGGCCCCGTTTGGCGGGGCTTCTGTTATTTATTTTGCATTTTGTAGAATAACTTCTTGAAGAAGTGCATTTTGTGAATGAGTTGGCCTCCACCCCTTTTGGTGCGATTCTTACAAAATTTAAACTTCCTGTGTATAGTTTAGCATCTTACTATGATAATTCTTTCCTATGATAATATGAGCTCAATATTTGTTCATTCTTTTCTCTTGTCGGTTATACACGTAAATTGGTTTAGCCCCCGTTTGATCCCCATTAAATTAAATTACATTACATTCAATTTTTCTCTCTCCTATTTTCAACCACACAATCTTCCATAAAATAATATTATACGTAAATCGAAAATTTTTCATTCTTTTTCGACCACTCATTTTTCTAAAAAATACTATTCTCCCATTTTCATTTTCAGGTAATGGGGTTCAAACGGGGGCTAATATTATCTTTTCTATTATTTTAATTAGTAGAAATAAAAAATAAGACTGTTGTGTTTTGTTATGCTGAATGCAGGGGAAATCTTTTTCTCTGCGATTCCCAATTGAGGTAAAAAATATCCAAATGGCCAAGCATGGTAGTGATTCAGGTGTATATGACAAAGAAGGAAGGTACGTGTGATTCTCGTTTACTTTGAGAAATTAAGACTCGATAATCATGAAATAAGTTGGATTGATATGTTTTGAAATTCAAATCTTTCCGACCCCTTATCTCAGAAGAGTTGGATTGATATGTAGCGATTTCAATACCAAAATTAATCAAAATTACTGGACAAGAATTGGAATAGATGTCTAATAAAGATTGTTGTGTTCTTAGCTAAACAATGAAGTTTCTTTCATCGTGTTTATTAGGCGTCTTATTACTATTAACTACTATCCATTTTTGAAGGTTTGTTGCATCGAAATTTGAGGAGATTTTTGCCAAGCACGCGCACACTCATCCAAATGCCTTGACATCAAATGAATTGAAATCATTCATGAAGTCGAACAGGGAAAAAAAGGACTACGGTGGATGGTACATTTTGTGATTCAGAATCTCCTTCCTCCATTTTCTTCCTGGTTTTCTAGCTTATGTTAATTCTGTAAAACATTGGAAATGAATTGCAGGCTGGCAGGCTATGTAGAGTGGAAAATCTTATACTCACTTTGCAAGGACAAAAATGGATTGTTGCAGAAAGATACCATCAGAGCTGCATTTGATGGAAGCCTATTCGAGCGAATGGAAAAGGAGAAAGCATCTAAGAAGCAGGCGAATCGACCAAAATCGACAATATAAACCATTAACTATCGTACCATGAATAATATACTAAACAAGAAGCAGTCGTGATCTCTTTATTTTTTTCCAGTGTTCTTATGATGTGTGAAGAATGTATAAGAATATGTATACATGGATGTTGGATAGTGTTTCATTAAAAAAAGTTGTAATTCCCTCGACTAGTGCTTGAATAACTTGTAATTTAAAATCCCTTCAAGTAATCCAATGCACTCCAATAGTATAAAACTACACAATACAAATGCTCATAAGAAATTTTGAGATTGAAAGTTTGTTTTCAAACTCCTTATTTTAGTATTATTCGCATCCAAATTTTCTTTCCCCATTATATGATATGTTCTCCTGCATTAATTTTACAAGAAAATTATTTACAGCAAAAATTACTCTTTCGATCGTTCACAACATAAAGACATTTTTTTCTCTCTTAGAATTGATTTTATTAATGCACTTGATACCAATGGATCTTAGGAAGTCCACAAAATCGACCACTCCAGTGGCAAAAACTTAGAACATCGCCACCTGATGGGATACTCTTCTTACTACGTAAATGTAAGAATTGATGTCACGCATTCACTGTTCTAAGAACTTGTTTATATCCAACACCGTACATGAAATTTCTAGCCTAGGCGAACTTTAAAAAGGGAAAATTTCATAAATAAACTAGTTTAAAAATACAATTTCCAAATTTCTAAAATCTATAATATATTAAAGTATCACATGGGAAAATAATTTTTTGAACGATTTTAATTCCCATACAATTCAATTATTTCAATAATGCATTGCTTTTCGTTTTTCAATATGTAATAAATACTACATAAAAGTGGTGTTTATGAAATTCGTGTTATTAATTCTCAATTAATTAATATTCATACTAATCTAGATTCAATGAATTTTTACTTGATGAATTTTTAATTATATTAATCTAGAGTTATTATAGATAAATTTATTCATGTTCATGTATCTAGAAATTTTAATTGATATTTTAATTTATGTATTAATAATTAATTTTTATGTATCAAATGTAATACAAAAAGATTGCTCATTTATAGTATTTCATCATTACAAAAACTTTGAATTACAGAAATTGAGTTTTGATAGTATAATTTGAGTACAATTTTCTTCTCTTAAATTTTTATGTTAAATTTTATTTTCTTTAATTCGTCCGAGACTCATCAAATCCTCCAACAAATTGGTTCCATATATTACTTTTACATCATTTATAAAATATTTAATTTAAATAATGTGCAATACACGTTCAACTTTGACTAGTACTTTAAAAAATTAGGTGGTATATGACTGTGACTTGTTCTTATAAATTATTATGACAAATAGATTGCGTGATTGTATGAAATGCATGAACATGTATGCAATAGACATTGAATGTTGCAAAATGATATATTAACAACGGGTAAACGAAAGTTGCCAAAGTTTAGATACTTTAACAATGCGCACAAAACGTTACAAAGTAGCTACACATTAATTTCTTTCAATAACGATCAATACCCGTTGTTAAATCTACAAAATATATAAATTCTTTTGCAATAGACAATGAACATTGTAAAATGATTATTTTTTTTAACAAATGGAAAACAGACATTGCAAACTATAGAAGTTTTAATAACGCACACAGAACGTCACAAGATACGCTACATAATAACTTTTTTAAGAAACCGTTGTTGACCACTGTTAAATCTTTGAAAAAATATATATATTTTTATAAAAAATTGTGAACATTGCAAAAGGATATGTTACAACATGCATTAAAAGAACATTATCAAATCTCAATTGAGTTACCCAACACTAGCATATATTTACTAATTATTGTGATAAACCATTTTTAGTAACACAGAATCAATGAATGTTATTGTTTACATGTTGAGAAAGATTATTTTTATTGTGGTGATATCCAACTGTGTAATAATTACTCATTGTAGTTCAATAGTTAACTCTCTAGGTTGCTCTTGTACATGTCACGTTGCGTATCTATTTGTTATCCTCCATGTAATTACTCTTACATCAATTGAAAAAAATTCTCCCGCAAGTTGGCAAAGAAATTTATAGATTCATACAAAAACAGTTTCTCTTTCTTTTCTAGTCGGAGATCTGAAATTTGAGATATCACCATCAACCTCAATTAGAATTTAAAAGCAATATGGCTTAAGTATGCTGTTAATATTGAAAACTGATCATAAATTTGACAGCCAGAGAACTATTATATAAATTTTGTAAACTCCTAAGTACCAAATAAGGTATTATAAAACTAAATGAATAATTTTTCTATAGAGATAAGGTGATTTTGATTGTGAAATATGAAACAAAATTGAAACAATCTTGTATAAAAGACACTAAATAAATGCAATATTAACTGGAAAAAAAAATGTCGTAGAATTGGGGATTGTGAAAAGGTGATAATAGAGTAGTTAAAAACAGAGAAAAAAAGATTAGAAACGTTGATTGTTAAGAGTTAAATATCGTTAATAATAAAAAGTGAAACCCATCTACATTTTATCCCTACATTTTATCGTTGCTGTTCGAGAAATATTTCTTTCAATTTAAATTACCGCAATTGTACGGGTCGTGACAAGTAATAAAATGGACTTTAGAAGTCCGAGTATCGTCCCACAGAGAAAGAGTAGTTCAATTTTACTTATTTTAGCCTTAAACGAAACTAATTGAGTTAAAATGAATTTTGGAATCAAAAACCCTAATTTTGGGAGAAATCCCCAAATTGAAAAACCCTAATTTCAAATCAAACCCTAATTACTTAAATTCACTTAACTAATGACTCAATTACGAAATGTTATGAAAAATAAATGAAAACCTATGTAAAACGAATCCACTAGGATCACGAATCCCCAAATAATTACTGATTAAACCCTAATTTCACAATTTTGATAATTCAATAAGAATTTGATAAATCAATACTCCTAAATCTATTCAATACTCTCTCTCGAGATGTATTGAACCTATTCTCATAAATCATCAGCCTATATCTCTATGACGGATGCAATTTTACAAGAACGCATATAATTTTTTGGTAAGCAATTAAAGATTTATATAGGGCATAGGGGTATATTTCTATCCCCTATCGGACCCTATGATAAATTATATATGTCGAGTCTAATCTAATTTTCTCAAATTCAGAATTAAACCACCAAGTTCGCACAAATCAAGTGCACATTAATTGTGGAAATAAATAAACCAATATAATCCATTCAAATATCCCATCAAACTAATAATTCAAAAATCATGAAATAGCAAGTTTAATAATAATTACATGGTTCATCGATCACCTAGTTGCAAAAAAATCTAGCCTATCATGATAAAAATAACGAAATCTAACAAAATATGAATAAAATACATCACCGGGTTATCAAAGATTGAAGAAATCTTGTAAATCTCGCATCAATTCTTTTTCTTGCCCTCAATTCCACTCCGAGATGAATGTTTTAGCCTCCCAAGTCGTTCGTGCGGCTTCTGGACGTCTTGTTGCTATTTAAACCTGTCCAAATTAGGTTACCAAAGGAGTTGCAATCATATAATTAAGGAAACTGCAAAATTCGGGAAAAAATTATACCTATGCAACCGCATAGGCATAACCTATGTGACCGCATAGGTTTAAGAAGAACGCCATTTTTAATCCCTGGAGGTTCACTCGCGGTCGCATAGGTTTTATACTAAGCGACCGCATAGTAGAGCTACTTTCTTGTTTGAATCATTTTGGTCCGCAAGTTTCATTCCTTCACTCCTTGACCTCCTCTCTTGTTCCTAATTGCTCCAATATTCCCTTATAACTTCCAATTGGTGCTTGGTTTGATCAATTTCTTGATGTGTTCATCGGGTCAACTTTCAGATAATTGCAATTTGGTCCCTGAATTCTCATTTTGCTCCAATTTGGTCCTTTTTCGGCTCTTTTCTCCTGAATTCCACTATTTCCATAAAATTTCCTACATTGCATGAATTTGACAAAGTTAAATAACAATTCAATCATTTTACTTGTATTTAAGTCATGTTTGTGATGTAAATAAGTGTGTAAAAACACACTTATCAAACCCCCCAAACTTGAACTATTGTTTGTCCTCAAACAAGATAGTGATATAATTCTGAACAAACATGGCTAAACACCTTGCCTTGGCTCAGGATTGGACTAAGTAATTGATTTTATGAAAATTTATCAGTGCAAGATGACATCAACCTTCACCTGTTAAGTGCATACTTGACTTGTATATGTGTGGATTCATGCTGACATATCAAGTTCATGATGAGTTTGAGTCCCGACCCCAAGTGGTCAAATGTCTCCTCACTCGCTCGAGAGATACATAACCCCCCAAACTTATTCTTTTCACTCAATTATCCCGGGGTTGTGTTTAAAAATTATGAGTTTACCTAGCTTTAGTTCTCACCCTCTCGTAGTTTGGATTAATTTCACTATCACAAGTTCACACGTCAACAAGTGAAGGCTCTCCTAGTTTTGATTGCTTCGACACTCAAAACTAAACTAGGTTACTTGCCTCGTCTCAAAGGTATAGTTTCTTCCACCAATTGTCCAAGGGCTTTTCTTCTTGTTATTGTCTCTTTTTGTTTTTCTCACTTTTTTTTCTTATCATCTTCTCATTTGCTTTCTATATAAGCCATGTAACGAGCTTTAGGCCGGTGACTCCCAAACCAGTTGGTTTTAGGGCACCAGGTTTTAGACCCTTGCAGACTTATTCACTCGAGTTATAAAGGCTCGATCATATGACTTTTTATTAACTTCTTTACTTCATGCTTTCTATATGACCCATGTATCGAACTTTAGGCCGGTGATTCCCAGATCAGTTGACCTTAGGGCACCAGATTTTGAAATATCCTTACAGGCTTACTTGCTCGAGTCATAAAGGCTGAAAAAGAAGTGTCTTATTCTCACAAATTAAGTTCATGCCCTATTTTTTTAGACATCTGGTATCCAAAACTAACCCTCAATTTAAGATTTTCACCTACTCTTCATCCCACTGGTCTAGGCAATCCACACAATAACTCATGCACGGAGCCTCACTCATTTCAATGTTCTCCTGTAATAGCTCAACTATCACCAAACTGTCTTAAGGTATTTTACGGGTTAATTCAATAGAGGGTTATAACTATCTCTCTACTTTATGCTCAAAACCCCAATCACTTACCTAACATGTCAAGCATGAATGACGTACATAAAGAATGTCAAGTATTGCATCAACAAGTATAAGTTAGCCTAATTAACACCGAT